CCAGCACCCTGTCCCCTACACCCTCCTACCCCACTCCCACCACAGTACTGACTCCCCACCACGACTGTTTCAGGGGTCGTCGGGGATTGGAAGAACCACTTCACCGTGGCCCAGAATGAGAGATTTGATGATGATTACAGGAAGAACATGGCTGACACCACTCTAACCCTCCACTTTCGATTCTCGTAAGGAAGAAAAAGCACCAGATTTAATTGGTGTAAAAGTTGATTACCCTGACCCTGTGATATTGAATTCAGGTGGCTGGACTAGTGCTTCTTGTGTCTGCTTTTGTTCACCCTAATAAAAGATGGAGCTAACAGAGGTTGGGGCCAGGTGGAGGGCGGAGACTTACAACCCTGGCATCCTTGCTAATGATCATGATGCGTCAGTTTTCTACATACCACATGCATGTGAACATGTTAAATATGCTCTGGTCATCACATAAGAATATACTAAAGTTTTCAGATGAAGTATTGGTTTAAGCAAATTTGTAAAACAGCACTAAAATGTGTTAATAGCTACTATTTCTTGGTAGCCAGTGGTTTCTTGGTAGCCAAGTAACCATCATCAGGTGACTGTTTTCCCCTGAAACTTTCTCATTCACTCCAGGCTTCTTCCTTCAGTGCCTCTACCCCTGTCCCTCACTGCTGCCTCTGCATTTCGCTGGACTCCCTGCCACTCCCAGCCAACCCACCCCAGACTTGCACCTTGACCCACCTCTCTGCAGCCCCTCCTCAGTTGTGTTCTAATCCATCAGCAACACCTGTCAGTGTACCTCCAGGATGTCTTACCTCTGCAGCTGCCCTTCCAGTTCAGAAGCCTCTCCCTTGCCTATAAGCTATGTAATTTGTTTCTCTGTTCGTCATACATCTGCCAAACTTCTTTTCCCACAGCAAGATTCTTTACATTTCTCTTTAGCTCAGAATCTTTCGATGATTCTGATGTTTGCTGCCTACAAGATACATCCCAAGCAATTTTAGCCATCGATTCAAAGGCAGCTACATGGATGACTTACCTTATGACATGGGTGACTTACCTTCCAAACCACCTGCCAGCTGGATTTCATGCTGCCAAACCCCCTCCTCATTGCAGCAGAGAGCCACCTCACTGGGTCCGAGCGCATCTTGCAGGCTCCTCCCCACCCCAACTAGTCTTACTGTCATCCCACCTTCTCCAGACGTTTCCTTTCCTTTCTCTCCACCAATTTAAAACAAATAGCAAGTTCACTAACCAGCACAGGCCTCCCATCTTCCTGCCAATACTGCAACCTGAAGGACCATCTGCTCTTTGGAAGTCTTTCACACATAATTCTTATGTGATTAAGATTAAAGTGTATCATTAAATCTCTTATAGGTCTGTATTGTCTCTTTTGTGCTTATTTAAATTTTCATTTGCTCACTTCTTCTCCAAGAGAAGGACATTGCTAAATACTTCAATGCACACCAAATGGCAAGAACTGAGAACTAAGTAACTGAAATACTCTATCAGTCAAGGAAATCTAAAAAGCCAACTTCTTATATTCTAAGTAGTCCTATACCAGTTATCTTCTAGAGTTTACTGTGTTAGCCACTAGCTGCATGTAGTTACTTAAAATTATTTAAAATTTGAAAAGACACCTATACCCCAGTGTTCATAGCAGCACCATTTACAATAGCCAAGACACAGAAACCTAAATGTCCATTGACAGATGAATGAATAAATAAGATTTGGCATGCGCGCACGTGTGTGTGTGTGATGGAATATTACTCAGGTATAAAGAATGTAATCTTGTCATTTGCGACAACATGGATGGACCTGTTAGATTTTACACTAAGTGAAATAATCAAAGACAAAAACCATATTGTTTCACTTACCTGCAGAATCTAAAAAACAAAAACAGAAACAGATTCACAGGTACAGACTGTAATATACAGCACAGGGAATATAGTCAATAATGCAATAATTTTATAAGGTAACAGATGGTTACTAGACTTATTGTGGTGATCAATCCACAATGTATATAAATGTCGAATCACTACACAGAACACCTGAAACTAATACAATATTGTAGGTCAACTATACTTCAATTAAAAAATTTTTTTAAATCTGGTCATTTTCAGTTTATAACTTTGGGTTTACATAAATAAATTGTATTGTTTTCAAAAGAATTACATTTTTAAATGCTTAGACTATTACACTGAAATATTATTTAAATGAAAATAATAAACTGTCAGACACATTTAAAAAAATTAAAAATAAATTTAAAAGTTGAATATGTAGAGGCAGAAAGCAGAACTGTGGTTACTGGGGACTGGAGGCGGGGTGGGGGGGTATAGGAATATCGGTCAAAGAGCACAAAGCTGCAGTTATGTAGAACAAGTAATCTATAGGTCTGGGGTCCAGCATGATAACTATAGTTAATAAGACTGTACTGGGAACTCTCTGGTAGTCCAGTGGTTAGGACTCCGTGTTTTGCTGCTGTCAGTCTGGGTTCGATCCCTGGTTGGGGAATTAACATCCAGCAACGCTCATTGCACAGCCAAAAAAAAAAAAAGTACTGAAAACTAGAAATTGCTTAAAGAGTACATTTCAGATGCTCTCATCATACATGTAAATACATGGAGAAGACGTTAATTAGCTTGACGGTAGTAATCACTCTGCTGTGTATATACATACATGAAATCATCATGTACACCTTATAAGTAACGTAAGTGAAAGTCGCTCAGTCATCTCCGACTGTTTGCGACCCCATGGACTATCGCCCAATATGCTCCTTTGTCTATGGAATTCTCCAGGGAAGAATACTGGAGTGGGTTGCCATTTCCTACTCCAAGGGATCTTCCCGACCCAGTTGTCGAACTCAGGTGTCCCGCATCGCAGGCAGATTCTTTACCATCTGGGCCACCAGGGAAGCCCTGTACACCATAAAGATACACAATTAAATATATACAATTATTGTTAGAAAGTAAAAATATTAAAAGAAAATGAAACAGATCCCGTTATGTAACATTGCATTACTTTCTCCATAACTCATACCTCTGTTAAATTAACGGTTTCCGTGCTTATCATCTGTCTCTACCACTAGTCCAGCAAGGAGACCTTTTTTGTCTTAGTTACAGCTGTACTTCCCCCAGCAGAGCACTAGGTGCACAGAAGATGCTCTGTTACTGTGCGGACTGAATGAACCAGTACACAGCATCAGCCTGTACCCCCAACACACACACGCACATGCACACACACACGCACATGCACACACACACACACACTTTCACTGTTCCTGTTCTAGCCCAACCCAAAGTCTATAACAACTAGGACTACAGGATGACCTCCTTGGTCTCTGAGCCAGTGGGAAGCACCATGCTGAGCTCCTTGCCCCCTCTACTGGCCAATCTAGCACATGGCTGTTTTGACCTGCTATCCTTGCCCAGAGGAACCACCCTGCCTAGGGACCGTGGTGTCTGGAATCTTTCCTTGTGCTTGAATTACCTGTGCCCAGTTTCTTTGCCAGTTATCTGGAAATAGGCAGAGAGGGACAAACTGTACCTAACAGACCCTGGCCTGGATCACCTGCCTCCTCTTACTGTGTCCGAGGCTTTCTGTGTATGTGCTAAGTTGCTTCAGTCATATCTGACTCCTTCTGACCCCATGGACTGTAGCCTGCCAGGCTCCTCTGTCTATGGGATTCTCTAAGCAAGAATATTGGAGTGGATTGCCCTGCCCTCCTCCAGGGGATCTTCCTGACCCAGGGACTGAACCCACATCTCCTTTGTCTCCTGCATTGGCAGGCGGGTTCTTTACCACTAGTGCCACTCTGGGAAGTCTCAGATGATACTTAAAAAAAAAAAAAAAAAACCACCATATTCTCAAGTAGCAGGAGAAGGTCGTGAGGCCACTGCTTTTCTGACACATTAGAGATGAATCCACCTAAACACACCAGTCCCCTTATTCTGAACCCCACCCAAATTCAATCCTATAATAATAGATCATCTGAAATGAGGAGACCTAAAACTCAACCTGCAGTGGGTAAAGAAATGAGACTATAGCTGTGGTTTCTTACATGTTCTTTCAGCTGGACAAATGTCTCTGTGTCTGGTTTATTTCATGTGAATGGAAACAAGAAGTCTTTTAGGCCTGTGAACAACACACTCTGAGATATGTGTAGAATTCGATGGGTTAAAGATAATTAGCTAAGGAATAGGCATATACTCCTGAGATTCTAATATGATTTTTCAGTCTTCACAGAGGGCTGTGAAGTAAAATTCATGAGTAAAATTTCACAAACCAAGCAAAAGTTGCTTGCTTCGAAAAAGTAATATCATCTGAATCAGGGGAGGAGACAGAAGATGGGAGAAGTGAGGGGACCAGAGAGTGGACAGGAGAAGGACAGGAATAGGGACAGGTGAGGGGACAAGAGAGGAATAGCTGAGGGGACAGGAGACGGATAGGAATGGGGACAGGTGAGGAGACAGCAGATGAAGGAGGAGACAGGATATGGGACAGCTGAGAGGACAGGAGATGAGAGAGAAGAGGGACAGGAATCAGAACAAAAATGGGGACAGGTGAGGGGACAGGAGATGGGACAGGTGATGGGACAGATGACGGACAGGAAAGTGGACAGAAGATGGGTCAGGAGAAGGGACAGGACACGGGAGAGAAGGACGGGAATGGAACAAGTGAAAGAAATGTGACTAGGGAGGCTGCCGGAGCCGCCTAGCTGCGCAGGGCCCGACCTTCCCAGGAGAGCCCCAAGCCCCAACACCTGCGTCAAGCACAGAGCCCCGCCCCCGGGTGCGCCCCGCCCCCGGGTGCGCCCCGCCTCCTCGAGGGCGGTTCCGGCGGGGCGGGGCGGTTCCGGTGGGGCGGGGCGGTTCCGGCGAGGCGGGAGCGGCGGGGCGGGGCGGGGGAAGCCACCTCCCGAGGCGGAAGCGGAAGCGCGAGCGCCGCGGGCCCGTAGCCGTGGAGACGCGGGGGCGGGGCCGGCAGAGAAGCGAGACCTTTAACCCGCGGCGGCGGTCCGCGGGAGGCGCGGGGTGGAAGTGTGGGCTGCGGGCGGCCATGGAGGTAACGCGAGGGCTCGGGAGCCGAGGGACCACCTCCCCGCCTGCCGGGGTCTGCACGGCCGCCCCTGACTGGCCGGCTTTCGTTGTGTTTTGCAGGAGCCTGTTCACGATGGGGTGGCCTCGCCGGCCGCTCCCGGGACCGGGAAGTCCAAGGTGAAGAGACGTCTGAGAGGCCGGTCCCACGGGAGGGGACAGCCTGGGGGACAGCTTTCCTCGGGGTCCGGGGCTGAGCGGTCAGGGGCTCCCTCTGAGTTCGCTGGGGTGAAGCCTGGCTTTTCATGCTGCCCCGGTCAGCGTGCCTCTGAGATGCCGCAGTTTCAAACGTTCAACGAAACAGTCTGGTTTCTGAGGTCCAAGCGGCGACCAGACTAAGCCGGACGGGCGGGCGGGTGGTGTCGAGGGCTCGGTCTTGCCGGCTCCTCTTCTGAGGTGGACACAGGTCACCCCCATGGCATGGGCGAGGGTCGGTCCAGAGTTGGTGACTTGCTACCGAGGTTTCCTGCTACGGCAGAGTTTCAGACAGTCGTCCAAACTCTGTGTTCCCGGAAGTTTCACTGTGACCCGGAGTTGAACACTTCTGTGATCCGAGCTTTACCCTTCAGAAAACTGAGCCCACAGGCGCTAAGTAACTTTCCCTCATTTTTCAGTTAAATCCTAAATGCGCCCTGATTCATCTTGTTGCTGTAATTAGGGCTTAACGTGTTTTCCCGTAGCCAGAGGCTTTTTTCAGTTTGAATAGGACGAAAGTTTCACACAACTGAGGAACTTTAAGTCAAGTTAGTCCCAGTTCCTTGATTTTGCAGTTAAAGAAATTAAAGAAAATGTCTTAACCTGTAACAATAATTTTGTGTAGCAAGAGGATATGTGCGGTTTTTTTACACTTCATTGTAGTTGCTTAACTAATAATTACTGAGTTAAACTTGGATTTGCTGATCTTAAAAAACAAAGGTCCATCTAGTCAAAGCTATGGTTTTTCCAGGAGTCATGTATGCATGTGAGAGTTGGACTGTAAAGAAAGCTGAGCGCCAAAGAATTGATGCTTTTGAACTGTGGTTTTGGAGAAGACTCTTTGAGAGTCCCCTGGACAGGAGATCCAGCTAGTCCGTTCTGAAGGAAATCAGTCCTGAATATTCATTGGTAGGACTGATGCTGAAGCTGAAACTCCAATACTTTGGCCACCTGATGCGAAGAACTGACTCATTAGAAAAGACCCTGATGCTGGGAAAGATTCAAGGCAGGAGAAGGGAACGACAGAAGATGACATGGTTGATGGCATCACTGACTAAATGGACATGAGTCTGAGTAAACTCTGGGAGTTGGTGATGGACAAGGAGGCCTGGTGTGCTGCAGTCCATGGGGTGGCAAAGAGTCAGACATGACTGATTGAACTGAACTGAATATTAAAAAATGTGGTATTTGGTTGATATAAATATTCAGTAGGATTTTTTTTTATATTTCAGCAGACTTTATGTTTCTTTTTTGTGGTATAGTAGAAACATGAATTATAACAAGTTGGTAATGTCTCTACATCTTCCAGCTGGAAGCCTTGCCCAAGGAAGATCTTATCAAGTTTGCCAAGAAGCAGATGATGCTAATACAGAAAACAAAATTGAGATGTACAGGTATTGGGTTGAAAATACTCATCTTGTCCACAGTCTGGTTTAATCATGGTTGCAAATACTAGTTTTTTAATAGTACACTGGCTTGTTATATCAGTGAATCCAATAATATTAGAGTAGTGCAATCTTACTTAGTATTCTAACCACTTGTTTTGATTTTTTTTTTTTATCTCATAAGCCTAAACTGCAGTTTTCTTTGAATTGATAAAAAAAGGTCAGGGAGAAGGATTTTAAGAAATAGTGTGTTAAAGTTAAGCACATTTTTTTTTAACCTCCCGTGGATTGTGTATTCTTCTGAGTAAGGCATTTTTTCCTAAAGTTGGCAGTTGATATGTTAGAGACGTGAGGTTCTAAACCCAAACAAGTTGAAAAAAAAAAAAAGGCCCTAAATAAAGCAATAAAAGATTTCTTTCTTGGAATTCTGAAGCATATTTACTGAAGTTGCTTGATTCCCCATTCAGTTTGTATTTCTTTATATTCCACAAAGATTAGGTGTTAGTTTCCTTTTGTAATACGTGTGGGTGAGCTCTTTTCAGTGACTTAACTGCCCAGTCTGAAAGCTAACACTTATTTTCTACTAGAACAGGTTTAGCTGTGTTTTTAAAGGTTGGATCCACTTGTGATAGAGTAATTTATTTGGAAATGTGTAGGCACCAGATCTGGACATGAGTTGATGAAATAGATTACTGTGTATGTTTAATATGAGATTAGTTTTTGCTCTTAAGATTAGACAGAAGTTATTTACAGTTGAAATAATGTCTGAGATTTGCTTCAGAAATGTCAGGATGCATAAGAGACGAGGGAAAAGAGGAAGTGAAGACAGGTTGGGATAAAATAATATTGCTCATTTAGTCAGTATTAAACCAAGATGATGGAGCATAGAGGTTAATCATACTATTCTCTCTAGTTTTTTTAATTTGTAGTTTTCCATGATAAAAAGGGAAATGAAAGGAAATGCCGGGTCAACTTAATGCTTTCTCAAAAATATGTGCTATTTCTTAAAAAGTATTATAATTTATAGTGCTTTTTTTTTTTTAAAGAATGTACTTCTCACTTTAGCCAGTAATTCCTTCTTCATTTCTGAACTAGTATCTTTTTTTTAATTTTTTCATAATTGTTTAGAGTTGGAGAAAGAAGTTGAAGAATTAAGGTCAAAGCTGGTTGCTGGAGGAGCTGACATCATTAAGGTAAGGACACAGTGTGAGTGTTGCTTTGATTTTTGTTTGTTTCTTTAGATGAGATGCCCAATGATAATTCGGATTTCCTGAGGGCTGTCAGCTGCTCCCGCCCAAGGTTACATGCTCCATCTCTCTGGTTAAGTGTGTGGAGAGAGGTGGATGAAGTCTGCTGCCCTTTCTGTTCTGACCTGGTGTCGCTTTCTGTCCTTTGCATCACACTCACTCTGTCCTTAATGCTTGCCACCTCGGTCTCAGTCCTCCTCTTCCCTTGCCCATGAGGAACCCAGCCCCGAGCAGGACTTTGAGGAGTCTCTCCATTTCCAGGGCTCTTTGTGAAGCACTTCATGTCATCCTTATGAAGCGCGCTTACCTTGTTGACCCTGTAACTGGACTTGCTCTCTTCTTAGTTCTACATACCCTTGTCAGATCACAGAATACTCTTTTTATCTTGTTATTCCCTGTTTAAAAACCTGAGTTGCTTATTCTTACTCAGAGGCCCTTATTTTAAAAATAATTTTTAAAATTTATTTGTTCATTTTTGGCTGTGCTGGGTCTTTGTTGCTACTCAGGCTTTCTCTAGTTGTGAACCGGATCTACTCTTTGTTTTGATGTACGCAGTTCTCATTGCAGTGGCTTCTCTTGTTGCAGAGCATGGGTTCTGTAGTGTGTGGCCTTCAGTAGTTGTGGCACATGGACTCATGGATCATTGGTTGTGGCCTAGGGGCTTAGTTGCTCCAAAGCATGTGGGTTCTTTCTGGATCAGGGATCAAACCTAAGCCCTCTGCACTGTCAGGAGGTTTCTGTACCACTGGGTCACCAGGGAAGCCCTTACGTGCCCTTAACGCTAATTAAATGCTTTTCCTTCCCCCACTTGGCCTGACCGTCTTTAAAGTTTCTTTGCTTCTGAAAGCTCTGCAGTAATTTTTTTTCTTGCTTTTCCATATTTGTAATTTGAGTCTTGCTGTCTGTCTAGTCTTTGATTATATATTGTCTTACTCTCCCAGCTTGGGAGCGGTGGACAGTTGAGGGGCTCCCAGGAAGTTCAAGGAGTCTTTAAATCCCTGTGTACACCTCGTACTGCCATTTTGTTCTTTATTTAGCCAAAACAGTATATGAATTCTGAATGGTGTGCACAAATAACGTTTGGATTTGTAATGTACAGATTGGTTTAAGCATTTCTGAATCATAATGATTTTATTTGGTCGTTACGTGTTTTCCTAATTATTAATAGCCAAGGTTGACCACAAAATTCATTCCAGTTTCTCATAACAGCTTACAGAAAAGCTCGAACAAACTTTGTGTGGCCAACCCAGTAATTAATTATGGCTTTCCTGGTGACTCAGATGGTAAAGAATGCATCTGCAGAAGACCTGGATTTGATCCTTGGGTTGGGCAGATCCCCAGGAGGAGGTCATGGCAACCCACTCTAGTATACTTGCTTGGAGAATCCTCATGGACAGAGGTACCTGGCGGGCTACAGTCCGTGGGGTTGCAAAGAGTCGGACAAGACTGAGTGACTAAGCACAGTAATTAATTAAAGAACCTGACTCTAGAGCCAGACTGCCTGATTCAGATCTTGAGGCCCTGCTCTGTCACATGCAGGCTGTGTGACCATGACTACGTTTCCTAACTTCTCTGTGACTCTTCCACTGGAGACTAGAGAGAATAACGAATAACAAGACTTGCTTTCCTATAGTCAGTACACACAGTGCTGAGAGCTGGATCTGTCCCATAAGTACTCAGTGATTTTGTTATTACCGTGTATAATTTGTAGTGGATATTGTATACATAGATGTATGCATATATACATACATGCTCACCCACACACTAAAAAGCAGGTTTTTGTATCTGAAAAGAACATTGCAGATGCCATTGTGTCAGTGAACTCTTAGCCCTTAAAATATTTTCCATACACTTACATTTCAGAATATTTAAATATTAAACATGTGTCCCTGTTTCCTCCTTGTTCATGTATACTCCTGTTCTGTCAAAACTACTCTTAAAAATGAGGGTAAAAAGCTCTCTTAAGTTAGCTAAGTTTACCTTTCAGGTTATTAATTTAATACTAAAGCATGTTACCCTGACCACTTAAGTCTCAGAAAGTAAAAACTTGGTAAAATTAAATCAAGATTGCCTGGCAAAATATCAATAACCTCAGATGTGCAGATGACACCACCCTTATGGCAGAAAGCGAAGAGGAACTGAAAAGCCTCTTGATGAAAGTGAAAGAGGACAGTGAAAAAGTTGGCTTAAAACTCAACTTTCAAAAAACAAAAATCATGGCATCCAGTCCCATCACTTTATGGCAAATAGATGGGGAAACAGTGATAGACTTTATTCTCTTGGGCTCCAAAATCACTGCAGATGGTGACTGCAGCCATAAAATTAAAACACATTTGCTCCTTGGAAGACAAGCTATGACCAACCTAGGCAGCATATTAAAAAGCAGAGACATCACTTTGCTGACAAAGGTCTGTTTAGTCAAAGCTATGGTTTTTCCAATAGTCATGTAAGGGTATGAGAGTTGGGCCATAAAGAAAACTGAGCGCCGAAGAATTGATGTTTTTGAACTGTGGTGTTGGAGAAGACTCTTGAGAGTCCCTTGGACTGCAAGGAGAGCCAACCAGTCAATCCTAAAGGAAATTAGTCCTGAATATTCATTGGAAGGACTGATGCTGAAGTTCCAGTACTCTGGCCATCTGATTCGAAGAACTGACTCCTTAGACCCTGATGTTGGGAACTATTGAAGGCAGGAGGAGGAAGGAACAACACGGATGAGATAATTCTGTTCATCACCGACTCGATGGACGTGAGTTTGAGTAAGCTCTGGGAGCTGGTGATGGGCAGGAAAGCCTTGAATGCTGCAGTCCCTGAGGTCACAAAGTCAGACACGACTGAGCGACTGAACTGAAAATTAAATGAGAATGAAATCTTTTGATTTCCAGTCCTAATGAGAAGATTACACTGGAGAGTGATTGGAGGAGCTTGAGCATCAGCTAATCAGCTGCTTTGAGTTTTCTGTTTTAGAAAAATCACAAATTGCAGCATAATACATCATCTACACATCTGAGAAAGGGAGTAGACTTTCCTGCTACATTTTATTCCTTCATTGGGAGAAAGTACACGGGAAAAACATGACTTTGAATGTAAAGTTTTCTGTTCATCATAAAAATGTATGGCTTTTTAGGAGGTTTCCCAGGTGGTGCTAGTGATAAAGAACCCACCTGCCAATGCCGGAGGTATAGGATACCTGGGTTCAGTCCCTGGGTTGGGAAGATCCCCTGGAGAAGCAAATGGCAACTCACTCTAGTACTCTTGCCTGGAGAATTTCATGGACAGAGGAGCCTGACAGGCTACAGTCTAGGAAAACCACAGCAGACCTAGAGACAACCAGAACAAATGAGCACAGGACAGAAGGCTTGAGGTGGCAGGTATCCAGGAAGAAGTATATGAATGATTATTTGATCTGTTTAACCATTTGGAAAGTAGGCGTCATTGTGAAAGATGGCTAAGTTTTCATCAGTTATAACAGGAAGTTAATAGCTAAAGTCCTTGGATATTGTTATCAAGTTATGCCAGTTGTGAGAATAACTTGAGAATTCTTCTTGGTTTTTATTTTCTCCGAAGAAACTCGTATGTAATGGGGATAATCTGTTGTTTGAAAACTTGATAGAATGCACCTGCAAAGCTCTCTTTTCCTCCTGTGTCTTTTGTTTAAACCTCTAGTTTAATTTTTAAGTAGTTACAATATTGATTTGTGTGTGTGTGTGTGTGTGAGAGTTACATTTTTCTAGGAATTTTTATCTGTACCATTTTACTTTTCGGTATTATTGGCAGGTTAATAACTGATCATAATATTCTTATTAACTATTTAATCTATAGTTTATATATAGATAGGTTCCCTTTCTGTTCATTGTGTTTATGACTTCTGTCTTCTCTTGATCAGTCTCATAAGAGGTCTGCTTTGTTAGCTTTGTTTTCAAGAAACTGACTCTTGGCTTGTTCTGGTTTCTACTTCATTGAGTTCCTCTCCTATTTCATCTTTGCAGGGTATGAACCTTTTCTGGGGGTGGAGGGACACTGGGGGTTTGCTTGCCCGTTGTTCTAAGCACTCCTGATCAAGAGTGTCAGTCCCAACTAGAACCTACTTCCTGTACCCGCCTCAGTGGTGTCTGGTGCCTCCATTCCTGAGCATTTGGTTTTCTAGTGAGTGTTTGCCAGCTTCTGGTATGTTTCTCCATTTGAGCCCTCAGATTCTAGCCTACTGCTGCTTTCTAATTCACTTCCTCCACCTCCTCCACTGTCAGTTTTTCAAAGTTGTATTGAGATTTTTCATATGTACATGTCTTATCTCCTTTTCCCTTGGTTCTTGTGTATAGTGTTTTAAATATGCTTACTTTAGCATGGTTTGGAGAGGTGAGGAGATAATTATGGGTAAATCAATCCACTGTTTTTAACCTCAAACAAATTACCCTATTCCAAAACAGGCCTTGACTGAACGTCTGGATGCTCTTCTTTTGGAAAAAGCAGAGACTGAGCAACACTGCGTTTCTCTGAAGAAGGAAAATATTAAAATGAAGCAAGAGGTTGAGGTAAGGCAGGATTTTATTTTATTTTATTTTTTTTAATTAACTTATATAATATAGTTGTAAATTTTAGAACCAAGATCTAAAAAAGCATCTCATTGGACTTCCCTGGTGGCTCAGTGGTAAAGAATCTGTCTGTCAATGCAGGAGACACAGGTTCAATCCCTGACCCGGGAAGATCCCACATGCCACAGAGCAACTAAGCCAGTGCACCACAACTGCTAAGACCACATGCTGTAGAGACTGAGCTGTGCAATAGGAGAAGCCACTGCAATGAGAAGCCCCTGCTCACCACAGTTAGAGGCAAGCCTGAGTAGCAGTGAAGACCCAGCACAGCCACAAATAAATAAATATAAATAAGACTAACAAAATACTAAGAAAAAAAAAGCATCTCATCTTATTTTAACTATAATATTTGCAGATAAGGAAACAGACTGATATTTTAAAAGAAGGATAACTGAAATCACTGAGCTACACAGGGAGATACAACTAACATTTACCTGTTCATTGTTCACTCTTTTTAGCTATAGTATCATTTTTTAATAAAATGGGGAAAATACCTATTTTATGAAATATCTGTCTTATGAGAAACTACCAATTTAAATGCTGATGGCCCCACATACTGTACATACTGCTGCTTGTTCACTTCTAGGATACTTGCCTGCCATTAGGTCTGTGCTACTTTTCTCCCCAAAACTTTATCACTCTATTCAGGAGATGTTCATTAAAGCCTGTAACTTAATAGAACTTAGGTAATTTATTACCATTTAAAACAAAATTAAACTCAGAGAGTTCCTTGCTTTGAGTAAGACTTTAGTACTACTGCTGGATATCATCATCATTCTTAAGGTGGTCAGAGCTTCTAAGCAGAATTTTTGAGATCTAAGGATCATATTTCTCTGTGTACATTGCTACTTGTTTCCTCTTTATGAGACTGTATCTCATATTTTTCCTGAGGGCAGGGGTTTTGTCTTAAATAATTTTTGTGTGCTTACATTTATAGGATTCTGTAACTAAGTTGGAAGATGTGCAGAAAGAGTTGGAACAGTCACAAAGAAGCTATGGGAAAGAAATAGAAAATTTGAGAAATGAATTAGCAACAATACAATCCAAATATAGTAACGATAAAGCTGATTGGCAAAAGGAAGTGGAAGAAGCAGCAAAAAAACAATTAGAGCTTTCAGAACAGCTCAGGTTTCAGAGTGATTCTGAAGATTATGTTAAAAAGCTGCAAGAAGAGATTAAGAAAATTAAGCCAGACTTTGAGGATCAAATTTTATGTCTGCAAAAGCAGTTAGAAACTGCCACAAATGAAAAAGAGCAAGAAATTACTCACCTCCGAGGAGTGATTGAGGCTAATTGTCAGCAGTACCAAAAAGATATTAATAGTTTGCAAGAAGAACTTGTACAGTTGAAATCTACACACCAAGAAGAGGTGAAAGAACTGATATGCCAAATTGAAACATCTGCCAAAGAACACGAAGCAGAAATAAATTATTTGATCCAGCTAAAGGATAACTTAGTCAGAAAGTGTGAGGCAGGTGAGATGAACATTCAGGAGAAGTATAAATGTGAATTAGAAAACGAAGGGAAAGCCTCAGGTGCAGACCAAGAAAATCAGGTGTGTTCTTTGCTGTTAAAGGAAGATTCTCTTGTAGAACAAGCAGTAAATGAAAAACTTAGACACTTAGAAGATGCCCTAAAGGAACTGGAGTCGCAACATAGCATCTTAAAAGATGAGTTAACTTACATGAATAATCTAAAATTAAAACTTGAAATTGATGCCCAACATATAAAGGATGAGTTTTTTCATGAACGGGAAGATTTAGAGTTTAAAATTAATGAATTATTACTAGCTAAAGAAGAACAGGGGTATATAATTGAGAAATTAAAATCTGAGCTAGAAGATGCAAATAAACAGTTTTGCTGCGCCATAGAACAACATAACAAGGAAATACTGAGTCTGAAGAAACAGCATCAAAAAGAAATAACAGAACTAAATGAGACATTTTTGTCAGATTCAGAAAAAGAAAAGTTGGCATTAATGTTTGAAATACAGGGTCTTAAGGAACAGTGTGAAAAACTACAACAAGAAAAGCAAGAAGCAACATTAAACTACGAGGGTTTACGAGAGATTATGGAAATTTTACAGACAGAGCTGGGGGAATCTGCTGAAAAAATAAGTCAAGAGTTTGAATCAATGAAGCAACAACAAGCATTTAATATTAATGAACTTCAGCAGAAGCTCCAAACTGCATTTAATGAAAAAGATGCTCTTCTTGAAACTGTGACTTGTCTCCAGAGAGAAAATGATAACTTATTGTCACAGCAGGAATGTGTACCAGAACTTGAAAATACCATAAAGAACCTTCAAGAGAAGAATGAACTGTATCTAGTTAGTCTCCGTCAGAGAGATACCATGTTGCAAGAATTTGAAGCAAAGATAAGTTCTCTTACTGAGGAAAAATATGATTTCATAAGTAAGATGAAAAGTTCTCATGAAGAGATGGATAATCTCCACAAAAAATGTGAAAGGGAAGAAAGGTTGACTGTAGAACTTAGGGAAAAAGTGGATCAGACTGCCCAGTACAACAGTGAACTGGAACAGAAGGTAAATGAATTAACAGCAGGACTAGAAGAAACTTTAAAAGAAAAGGATGAAAAGAACCAAAAACTGGAAAAGCTTACAACTCAGTTGAAAACTCTCTCTGAAGACCAGGAAGCCACGTTATTGGAAGTGAGGTCTCTTCGTGAAGAAAATAGCAGACTGAGTTCAGAGAAGAATGTGCTGAGCAGGGATCTGGAAGCCTTCCTGTCTCAAAAAGAAGGAGATGTTACACTTCAGGAGCAGATCTCTGAATTAGAAGAGGAACTTCGGTTAGCTGTCAGAGAAAGGGATAATTTGAATCAACTGTTGGAAAACGAGCAAGTTCAGAAGTTGTTTGTTAAAGCTCAGTTGTGTGGTTTTCTTGAACAGATGGAGTCAAAGGTTTCACAAGAAAGGGAAGAACAGGATGTTGTAAACATCCTACAAGCCATGGGTGAATCCTTAGATAAAATAAGTGAAGAAAAACACAACTTGGATTTTCAGTATGATAAAAGGGTAGTAGAGTTAGAAAAAGAGATTAAGCTCCTTCAAGAAGAGCATATGGTTCAGTGTGAGGAACTTAGGTCTTTACTAAGAAATTACGAGCAAGAGAAAGTTGTCCTAAGGAAAGAGTTAGATGAAGCCCTCTTGGAAAAGGAGGCCCTGCAGTCTGACCTTCTGGCGATGAAGAATGCCAGTGAACAAACAAGGTTTGAGAATCAGAATCTCCTAATTCAGGTTGAAGAAGTGTCTCAAAAATTGTATAGAGAAAATGAAAATCATCACGAAAAAGAAAAAGATTTTATAAAAGAACTTGAAAACCTAAGGCCATTATTGGAACAGAAAGAATCTGAATTGAAGGATGTGAGAGCAGAGTTAATATCATTAAAGGTAATATTAACGTGAATTTTATTTAAGTAAATTCTTAGTTCTAGTCACAAGCGCTAGACAATATAAATATTACTGTTTTTACACTTCAAAGTCAAAGTAAATTTTTAGCATTTAAGCTCAAATGCAAATTTTTGAAAGTACGTTAAACATATTCCCATCACACTTAATCATACTGATTACTGTTGGTTTTGGATCATTTTGGAATCTTGATTTTACATAAGATTAAGTGGCCAGGGGGTTAAATGTTGGTCAAATGTAGTCACCAGCAAAACTACAACTAAATGTGAAAAAATTTTAATTTTATCCTTGTGTGATACACATATTACCTTAAAGCACACTGTTAAGCAAAAAAATAGGCTAAAGCAATATTTCATTTTAGCCAAAACTTCAGATTTTCCTCCCAAGATTGTGGCAGGATAAACTATGGTCATCGTTTAATCTCTTCCTTATTACATTGTGTATTTGTTATCTGTTGGGTGGGTCATCTTGGGCTTGGCTGCTGTTGTTTTTAATACTAAATGCTATGTGCATGATGAGATCAGAATTACTGGGTCTCTGAAGGGAAGAGAAAGTCTGTTCAGGTGATTGCTCTCTGTATGAATTCTCTTTAATAATTTTTTTTCATGCTTAGCATAACGGCCAGTTCATCATGGGGAATGCAGTGATTGTCTTTGTTTTTCCTATAAAATCTAGGATTCCTTCAAGAAATCACCTGTAGAAAGTGATCAACCTTCAGTAAACGAGTTTGAAGAAAAAATAGGTAACTATGGTTTTGCATATGTTGTCACAGTTAATTGAACAGATTCATAGAATTAGAACAGAGTGGGAAGTTCTCTCGCCAGTTAATGAGGTGTTAAAAGCATAGTATCACTCTTCTTCTGATGGCCTCTCCCTTCTGCTCGCCTTCACTTTCGAAACTCTCACTTTCTGTTGTTTCATCCAGAGGACTGTTGTGATTCCCTTTATAAAAAGTGCCATGATTGTTTTGTTTCGGGGTTTTTCATTCATTTAGCAAACTTGGCTTGAAAGCCCAGCTACCTAGGCACTGGTGATAGGAACGTGACTAAGATGCAGTCTTTGTCTTTAAGAATGCACAGCAAGAGAGGGCTGTTCTTCCCAGAGTTTGAGGTATGGACGAGGTCCGCTGGTGGCAGTGCAGGAGGATATGATTAACTGCTTGTTGAGTTGGGAGAAACATCACAGGACAGGCTGTCCTTGTCTTAAAGAGTGAGTAATGTGACCCAAGAAGGAGGATGCTGTAGCAGGAGGAGACTGCAGGTGCTGGTATGTTCACACCGCTGACGTCCAGGGGCCTCCTGGGAGGTTCTAGAGTGAGAGAGGCCATTCCCAACAGGGCTGGCGTAATGTGTGGAGGAGTCTGGCTTCATCACTCCTGCTTATCCCTCAGAGTAACATTTCAAGATGGGGTTGTGTGAGGTACCTGTAATTCCTCATTTTAATGCCCAATTGTTGCGGGGGTAGTGGGAACAATCTGGAGTGACCCACAGTCTTCTCTCATGGACAGTTGGAATGGTCGGGGTGACTGGGAGAAGGCTGACCAGGTAAGACACTGTTCTCTGCATCATTAGCATTAGAAGCCCTGAGGTGGAGATCACCAAGGAAGTCAGTGTAGAAGAAAGATGAGGACCAGAAACAGTTCTCTGTCAAGTAAAAGAAAGATAGAAATGGCAAAAGAGAGAAAAGAAATAGCTGGAGGGTTAGAAATACCCAGAGCATAAGATATCTTGGAAGCTAAGACCGGTGAAGTGCATTTGGAGGAAGTGTTGAGGAGGGAAGAAAGGCCACTTTAGTACTCAGGCCAAGCCCGAGCTAAGCAGCATCAAGGTCGTTGGTAACTTGATAACAGTTGCCATGGTATGCACAAGCCTGACTAGAATGGATTCAAGGAGAAAATGGGGGAGAGAAATGGGGGAACAGACATAGACCATGCTCAGAAGGAAGAGAAGGGACAGAGTCCAGAGGGGTGGTGTGGGTTTGTGTGTGTGAGAGAGAGAGAGAGAGAGAGTGAATGAGGTCTTACCTGTCTTCTCATGACCCTCCCCTCCTCTCCTTGGCTGCTTCCAATCTTTGTTCTGACCTTAAGCCCTTGGTGGCATTTCTTTTGTTGCATGTCTGTCAACTGTTAGGGTGAATTCATTAGAGTGGGTTTTGCTGCACAAAAGAGGGGAGAATTGTGCACTGATGGCCCAGGTAGGTGAGGGGGTGTGGGGTGAGACACAGAAGTGGAAGAGTTGGCCTGTGTTACACACACAGATGGTGCCCCTGTCATAGCCGAGGAAGGCAGTGATGAACAAAGGCACAACTCAATGAATCAGCAAGTGCAGAAGTTCAGATCATGACCGAAGTCCATCAGAGACACAAGAAGTAAGATCTGGAGCATGGAGTTTATGTCCGGGAGATGGCCAGAGAGGTTAAGGGAGAGTCACACTGGACATACTGAAGTCCAGCTGGAAAAATCAGACCCACCCACCAGAGGCACCTGTGGACCATGAACGGTGAAGAGCGTTTGACGTCTCTGCTTCATCCTGACTGGCTGTCACCACCATGGAGCCCAGCATACCTGCATTTCCAGGAGGTGCTCTCCCGTTCAGGGGTCCGGATGGCCTCTCCATGTATGAACACTAAGGAGACGGGCTGTTCTGGAAGACCGAAGAATATGAGAATTCTGTTCATTGTTTGCCTGGCTTAGGAAATGCATAATCAAGCTTTTGCTTAAAAATAGATACTCTGCTATTTATTTTAATTTCAAATTGTATATTTTGTGTACTAGATTAAAGTTCCATTTCTAGAACTAAAATAAGTAATTCTAATATTTTTCCCTAGTTTTCATTTGAGTTTATGTATAATTCTTTCATTTTATGTTTTTAGGATACCTGGAAAAAGAAGCCAAAGAGAAAGAGGAGAAAATAAATAAGTTAAAACTAGTTGCTGTGAAAGCAAAGAAAGAACTAGAGTCTAGCAGAAAAGAAGTAAGTTGACTTAAAAATGTAAGATTTGTGAACCTTACCTTTTAGAAAATCAAGTTTTTCTGTGCATTAAAAAACTATCACATATTTAAAATAGGCCCGGATGCTCCAGGAAGAACTTGAATCTGTTCGCTCAGAAAGGGATCAGTTGTCTACTTCCATGAGAGATCTCATTCAAGGAGCTGAAAACTATAAGGTAAAAATAGTTACATTAATGACAAGTTACATTTGTAACTTCTAAGTTAAGAAATGTACTTGAAATATAAAACTTTTTTTTAGTTTATTTATTTTAATTGGAGGCTAATTACTTTACAGTATTGTAGTGGTTTTTGCCATACATTGACATGAATCAGCCACGTGTTCCCCATGTACATGTGTTCCCCATCCTGAACCCCCTCCCACATCCCCTGTCATCCCATCCCTCAGGGTCATCCCATTGCACCAGCCCTGAGCACCCTGTCTCATGCATCGAAACCTGAAATGGCAATCTGTTTCACATATGATAATACACATGTATCAATGCTATTCTCTCAAATCATCCCACCCTCACTTTCTCTCAGAGTTAAAAAGCCTATTCTTTATGTCTCTTTTGCTGTCTCGCATATAGGGTCATCATTACCATCTTTCTAAGTTCCCTATATATATATATGCGTTAGTATACTGTATTGGTGTTTTTCTTTCTGACTTAACTTCACTTTGTATAATAGGCTCCAGTTTCATCCACCTCATTAGAACGGACTCAAATGCATTCTTTTTAATGGCTGAGTAACATTCCATTGTGTATATGTACCTTAGCTTTCTTATCCATTCATCTGCCGATGGACATCTAGGTTGCTTCCATGTCCTGCCTACTGTAAACAGTGCTGTGATGAACATTGGGGTACACATGTCTCTTTCAATTCTGGTTTCTTCGGTGTGTATGCCCAACAGTGGGATTGCTGGATCATATGGCAGTTCTATTTCCAGCTTTTTAACGAATCTCCACACTGTTCTCCATAGTGGCTGTACTAGTTTGCATTCCCACCAACAGTGTAAGGGTTCCCTTTTCTCCACACCCTCTCCAGCATTTATTGCTTGTAGACTTTTGGATAGCAGCCATTCTGACTGGTGTGAGATGGTACCTCATTGTGGTTTTGATTTGCATTTCTCTGATAACGAAAACTCTTGTCTATAACATAGTCATCTTGTATGTTTTAGTAAAGATTTTCACTGTGTGTGTGTCTGTGTATGTGTGTGTGTAATGTGTCATCCTAGTATCAAGGTTTTAAGTAGCTAGGCTTTAAATATGCCTTTAAAGTATTGTCTTTTAAAACTACCATTTCTGTTTGGGATTTCCTAATAAAATGAGTAACAAACAAAAATGGCTACTGTTACAGTCCTCTGGCCAAGGGAATAAATGTGAAAGTTAGACATGTCTAACACTAAAGTGAAAACACTATTTGGGGGTATTATTGCTCATCAGCCTAAATAACATGAGACACTATAATAGGAAAATGTAAAAATAAAACATAAGAACATGCCATTTTGTGTCTTTATGCATTTGAATATTTCTACAGCCAGGCTGAGCCTGAGTACTAAGGAGACAGTGGTCAACCAGGTAGGTGGAGTTCTGCTTGCCTGGCCTTTAGTCCCAGTGGCAGTAAGAGCAGACAGACAAGGAAATAGTGTGTAGGAAAGTTAAGGTGGGTGGGGTGACTTCTGTGTAACAACAAGCACTGTAGGCCAGGCATTCTTCTCAGTGCTTGACATGTCCTGTCACACGTAATGTGTGTGTGTGTGTGTGATAAGCATGTTATTAACGTTGCTGGTTTACCAGCGAGGAGTCAGGTCACAGAGCAAGAAGCCAGTGGAGCGGGGTTTAGGTTCAAGCATTTGGTTCCAGATCTCTTCTTCTAGCAAGTAAATAAACCGTGCTGCCCCAGTGAGACCTGAAAACAGAGAAGCTAGGAAAGGAAAAATCAGAAAACTGCTTCAGGAAAATCTAGTTCCACTCTCCAAAATGAATTCTGAGGTTTTGTCAGAAATGAAAGTGATTTTTAAAAATTAGAATAAAATACTTGATCATGTGATCTCTAGATGCAAAATACTTTTCTAAACTTAAGAAGTTACAAGGGGAAAGAGAGTGAACTAGATAAAACTAACAAATGAAAATGTAACAAGGGATTGGTATCCTTAACACATAAAGATACCTCATTCATTTTTAAAAAATGCTTATTTGAAATTTATATATGGATTTATGTCTTTTATGAGTCATTAGGAGCTTGCTTCTTTACATTTTGAGAACCATATAAACTAATTTATTTTCCTGTAAAGGTAGACCAAGTATACCAATTTACTTCTTTAAAATATAGGACCGGTGTGGGCAGGGGAGGGGGGGGTGGATGTAGAACATCCAAGAACTGTGGGGCAGCTACAAATGTATAGCATGTGTGCAATATGAATGCCATAGGAGAAGAGAGAGAAAGGAACACGGAAATACTTGGCACAGGGATGACTGATTACCCAGTTTAATGTCAGGTGCCAAGTTACAGATCCGGGAAGGAAGTTCAGAGAACACCACACGTAGCACAACCAGAAGAGGTGCACCGTGGCATGTCATTTTCAGATTACAGAAAATCAAAGATGAAAGTCCTGAAAGAAGCCACAGAAAAAAAAAACGTTATGTATAGAGGATTACATCAAATTTACAAGGAGCCATACAAAAGAGAAGAGTGTAAAATGCATTACTTAAGGTTTTGAGAGAAAAAAACCCACCAAGCTGGAATGCTTTGCACTAGAAGTGAAGGAGCAGTAGAGTTTCTTAGAAATTGAGGGTGTTTGTTGCCAGTAGACATGCCTGTCAATAAATGTTGAAAGAACTTCTTTAAGACTTTCCTGGTGGTGTGGTAGGTAAGAATCTGCCTGCCAGTGGAGGGAACACGAGTTCAATCCCTGGTCCAAGAAGATCCCACTTGTTGAGAAGCAACTAAGGTCGTGCTCCACAACTCCGGAGTCCGTTGCCCATAGAGCCCATGCTTTGCAACAAGAGAAGCCCATGCACTAAAAGGAAGAGTAGCCCCCATGCCACAACTAGAGAAAAGCCCCTGCAAAGCAGAGAAGACCCAGTGCAGCCAAAAAAAAAAATTTAAGAGTTCTTTAGAAAGAAGAGAGATAATATAGGTCAGACCTCAAAGGGACAACACAGTATTGGGGAAGAACAGAGTGGGAGGATTAGCCCTGCCCTTCTGCGAGACTTAGTATGGAGCTGCAGCAGTCAGGATTTGTGAGTGGTGTTGGTGGAAGAATGAACAGACAGCAGTGGAGAAAAGAGCCTTGAATCAGATCACAGGTAGAGTCAGCGCCTCTCTGTTGTCAGAAACAGTCATGTTGTTGGACACAATTCCAAAGGCACAGTCCATGCAGGACAGCCCAGCTGTGCTTTCTTGAGGCCACTTTCAGGGAAAGCCAGAGGCATGTGTTAGTTATTTTGTACAGGGCTGCATTTTTGTGAAGAACAGTCAGTAGTTGACCAGGAACAAGGGGAAAACAGGATTTATCAGAAAAGGGAAAGAAAACACAGGCTACAGGGAAGAGTTGAGTCTCGCTGCACATTGGAGGATGTCCTCGCTGGCTGGTAGGGATTGCAGAGGTCGGTCCTGGGATTCTCTCCTGAGCAGGGCCGACTAGGAACATCAAAGGAAAAAGTCACGTGGTTTTAGTGTCTTTAGAAAATCGTGAGCGTTCTGCTGCAGAGTGTGAGACTGTGTGTGGGGTCCTCTCATATTCCTTGAGCACCTCTGCTTCACCTGGGCTAGGCCCGAGGCTGTCCTCAGCAAGACTGTAGGTAACAGGTGACAAGGGTAAACTTTTTCTCCTGCCCGCTTAAATGTTGTTCATGTTTCAGAAGTTTATTTTTGATGACTAGATAGATAACTTGGAGATATTGCATTGTATATGCTTTAAATCCTCTTCGAGCCTTTAAGAGACCACCTCATACTAAAAGTCATCTAGATTATGCTAATTTTATTGTATGATGCCATGGGGTAAGTCTGTCAAATGTTGAATCTAGGTAAATATTTCAGGCTTCCAGAATGAACTCTTAAGGCTTATGTTAAGATGGCCCAGTCATACAGTCTGAGGAGTTGCATGTACGATAATATCCTGAAGTTAAGTCCTTTTGTCTTTTGTTGAAGAATCTTTTATCAGAATATGATAAGCAGTCAGAGCAGTTGGATGCAGAGAAAGAACGTGCCAATAACTTTGAGCGTCAAGTAGAAGACCTTACAAGACAATTAAGAAGTTTGACTTTTCAGGTAACTTTAAATTGAGTAAATTCATGGTGACTCAGATGGTAAGGAATCTACCTGCAATGCAGGAGACCCAAGTTCAATCCCTGGGTTGGGAAGATCCCCCTAAGAAGGGAATGACATGCGCGAATATTCTTGCCTCGAGAATCCCATGGACAGAGGAGCCTGGCAGGCTACAGTCCGTAAGGTCACAAAGAGTCAGACGTGACTGAGTGACTGACACTTTGACTTTCATATGTGAAAACTGTAATAAGTGTATTTCAATTCTAATATTTTTTGCACAAAAAGTTAAAATTAGTACATAGAAACTTAATTTTATTTTCTTTTTCCCAATGTTGAGAGAAGAATATGACCAATAAACTGGCAACCATCCTGTCTTTCTTACAGCTGTAATCTCAGTTCCCCTGAGGTTTTTTTGTTTTTGTTTTTTTCATTTTTTGCCTTTTCCTCTGTTAGTGCTCCTGGTCACTTGAAATGTTTTCCAAATTAACATCAGTAGTGACTGTGTTTTATTTATTTATTTATTTATTTTTGTGACTGTGTTTTAAACTTACTCTTGATTTTTGCATTTTCATTTCATGGACTCGATTCCGAAATCTTCATTTTTTTATACTGTGCCAGTATTCTCATTATGTTCCATTTTATTCTTCCTCTCCTGTGTGTATTTTCTGTGTGTTTACAGTAATGAATCATTTGTCATTGTAGTGTGAAAAATTAACCTCAGATAATGAAGACTTCCTGGCCCGTATCGAGACACTGCAGTCTAACGCCTGCTTATTGGAAGTGCAGATTCTAGAAGTCCACAAAGCCAAGGCTATGGCAGACAAAGAGCTGGAAGCTGAAAAACTTCAGAAAGAACAGAAAATAAAGGTCAAAGCAGTTCTGTGGGGTGAATTCATTTCACACAGTGGTGTTTTTATTGCAGTAGTTCAGTGAAGAAAAGACTTGCTAATGAGGAGCATTTGTTAAATCAGCAAAGTTTATTAATTCCTTAATGTGGAATTAAAGTTAATTAATTGAAGTTAATTAATTCCAACTGTGAAGTTGAGAATCCACAGTACGATTTTTGGGTATATATTTTTTAAATATGGAAAGATATCCAAACTCTGTACTTTGTATGTCAGATGTATTTTATAATCCTTTATGAATGCTTTTTTTTTTTTAAACATTGGTTGGCTTAGGGGTCCCAATGTTTCTATTTTTAATTTTAGGAGCATGCCAGTTCTGTAAATGAACTTGAAGAACTTCAGCTACAGCTTCAAAAGGAAAAGAAACAGCTTCAGAAAACCATGCAAGAATTAGAGCTGGTTAGAAAGGTAAAGAATCCGCCTGAAATGCGGGTGACCGGGGTTCCATCTCTGGGTTGGGAAGATCCCCTGGAAAAGGGAACGGCTATGCACTCCAGTATTCTGGCCTAGAGAATTCTATGGACTGTATAGTCCATGGGGTCGCAAGGAGTCGGACACGACTGAGTGACTTTCACTTTCAGAAAGGTAAAATGAAACACTAGACTCAGAATAGCAATGTTCTCATTCTTAAACTATCCTATAGACCCTGAAAAGTAATATTTCAAAAATAAGGTTATTTGTGATACTGAAGTACTCCTTTATAAATTATTTGCCTCAGAATATGGAAAATTTAACTTAGGTGTCCAAGTGCCCATCTCTCTGGAAGAATTTAGACTTGTTTTGCTGTTTTATTTTTTGTACATGATTATTCTGTGACACATGAAAATTTAGTTAATGTCAAGAACTGAAGTTTGTATTATGCTGAGAACTTTGGTGAATTTTTCTCTACTCTTCCAAAGATGGGAACAAAAATTAAGGTACTATAAGAGCTGCTTAAAATAAGAATATTTTATAGATAAGAATAGACCAGTTGTAGTTAACAAAAATTATAATATACAATGAAACTGAGAAAGTTAAACTATTTACAAAAGCAGTCAGTTTTATGAAATTACAATCTAGGAAGTACCCCAGCGTCTTCATTAACATATGAAGTTTGTGCTACAGAAAAGCATCCTAGAGCAGGTGTGTTGTGATCTTGATCCTTTCAGAAATTGCTAGACAGAGTTAGCTCATCCATTGTCACATGGCCCTCTCATTGTAACCTGTGCAGGATGCCCAGCAGACCACGCTGATGAACATGGAAATTGCTGATTACGAACGCTTGATGAGAGAACTGAATCAGAAGTTAGCTAATAAAAACAGCAAGATAGAAGATTTGGAGCAGGAAATAAAAATCCAAAAACAGAAACAAGAGACCCTGCAAGAAGAAATGAGTGAGTAAAACAGAACCCACTGCACCTCATGGTGACTCTCTTCAGCAGAAGTGGGGGATGGGGGGTGGGGGCCAGTGCTGATGGTTTCCTTGACCAGCCCTTGGCAGCCCAGTCATCCTCACAGTAGGGACCATGACTGGGGACTAAAGAGGGGGGCTGTAAGACTACCCACTGTGCCCTTGTGTACATTCAGTCCTGTAAACATTTCTCAGGGGTCCTGTTGTCAGCAGAGCAGGATGGTTGTAATGGCCATGGACTCTTTCTGAGGTGATTCTGTTCCATTTTATCTGTGAAATAATTTTCAACATAAGCACTAGAGCTGTGCGTGTCCCTTAGGCAGGCCTTCAGCTAACAAGCAGATATGTTGTGTTTTTATTTTAATTCAGCTTGAGATATTTTTAATTTTCTTTGAATCTCTTCTTTGACCCATGGGTTTTTTTTCATTCCTAAATAATTAACAGGGTTTTCAGATACTTTCTGTGCTTGGTTTCTCTGGGCCCTTGCCTGTGCACGCACCCGTCTTCCAGCTGTGTTCTTGTGCATACTGGGTAGCAGGGCTCCAGGTCACAAACACTTGCAGACATTTGACTTTGTGAGTTAGCCAGCTAGCTAAAAAAGAGGCTCAGGTCTTGGGAAAACTTAAAAAGAGCTGCTCATTCAAGAAGGCCAGCACCTCTCGCTGGTGAGTCAGCACAGACACAAGAGGTCCAGTCACTGGGTGTCAAGAGTGCAGAGGGAGAAGCTTCTGTGGACGAATGGCTGGGGGTTGGGATTTGTGTTGAGTCTTAGGATTTGGAGAGAGAGAGCGAACTGGGACAGGGCAGTCCTTTCTGCAGCCATAGTTAGGGGCAGGAGTAGAAAGGAGTAACATAGTGTGGAAGTCTTTACAGGTTGGAGGAAAGGGCTTGACCTCTGAGGGAGAAGTCAGGTATGCTCAGAAGATCCTCTTGATCCAGTTCAGGAGGGACCTGAACACAGAGTGGACTTGGGCCCTTTTGATGATTCAGCCCATTGTGGGGTCTGGGAAATGCAGCCACCTTGGCAGGCAGGGGCCCTGAGGCCTGAGCTGGGGGCTGTGGCTGGACGGGGAGGAGAGTGGGGACATGTTGGAAAGTATCCACGCAAAACTGTCAGCCAGCTCACTCTGCCATGTGTTGCAATCTCAGCCCTGCCCCTCTGCAGGGCCCGTCTGGCTCCTCATGCACCCTCCTCACCTCTGGGGCACAGTGGCCCTTCCTCTTCTGAAACATGGTGGCTGCTTTTCCACAGCCTTGTCATTCATTCACTGTGACCTCACTTTCCCACCCCGTGAGCACCTTTTGGAGTCATCCTCAGTCTCCAGTGTCTGCTGTCCCCACAAGCCTTCCTTGTCCCATGCAAATGTAACCTGGCTGTGACCATTAGTTCATGTGGGTCCCCACAGCCTTTATATTTCTTTTGAACGTTTCTATTTTTCTTTACATCATCACATTATCCAGAGATTATCCTTCATTTCAGTCTGTGTTCTTAAAGGTCAGGAACATACTCTGTCATGATTCCTGGAGCACTTAAAGGCTTTATATGTAATGTGTGCCTTGTACAGTCTTTGCAGGACTGGGTAAATAGTTGCCAGGAAGTTACTGGTGGTGACACATCTTAAAGGCAAGTCAAAGTGTATTCTTACAGAACACCTGCTCTTGTTTACTGAGTGATGTAGTCAGTGGGTGTGGATTTAGCTTCATGGCAGTAGTCGTTGCGCTTGGGGTCTTCTTGCTGCGGTCACATGGACCCATGTGTTATTTGTTCTGTCAAGGACCAGGTTGTGGTCTCTGTCAGATGCTCTGCATTTGCTTCACGACAGCTGCGGCTGGGTTGGCCTGCTTCTGTGGTTGGTCCTGTAATCTGGAAAATGCATCCACTTTACTCCTGTTTGATACTGGCTTCCTCTTTACCTCTGTTACATAAAAGTGTTTTGTTTTGATCACATTTCAGTCTTCCTTTATTGAACTTTGTTCTGCAAGACAATTAGTGTCACAAAGTCAGACCAGGTGGTTGGAAACACAGCATGTCTTTTGAGGTATTTCTTATTGTAAAGTCTTTAGCTTTTAGATACGCAGTAAGTATATGCCCTTATTTCAGAGATGCATGCTAAAATACTTACAGACAAGTGGGTTTCAGGGGTGGGGAGTACCTGTGCGGCACAGGAGTTGGGTCAGCAGGTGAGTCTGGGTTGCAGTAAAGGGCAGGACACATGTGTTCTCTGCTTCGCGGACCCTGAGGTCTCTGTCCTGTTCCTCCTGGGCTAAAGCATCCATAAGTAGCGTGCAGACAGGCTGTGCCCAGAATCAGGCAGCAGCCACGGTGCATGCAGGCCTGACACCTCGCTTGGTGGGATGAGATCAGCCTGTGTTGGTGGTAGTTAAAGGTGGTCACGGATACAGTGGGATTTACTATATTATTGTCACTAGTGTCATATATGTTTAAAGTTCAGTTCAGTCGCTCAGTTGTGTCCGACTCTTTGCGACCCTGTGAATCGCAGCACGCCAGGTCTCCCTGTCCATCACCAACTCCTGGAGTCTACCCAATCCCATGCCTGTCGAGTCGGTGATGCCATCCAGCCATCTCATCCTCTGTCGTCCCCTTCTCCTCCTGCCCCCAATCCCTCCCAGCATCAGGGTCTTTTCCAGTGAGTCAGCTCTTTGCATGAGGTGGCCAAAGTATTGGAGTTTCAGTTTCAGCATCAGTCCTTCTAGTGAACACCCAGGACTGTTTGTAATAAAAAGCTAAGACGGGTTCCTTTCAGAGATAGGCTAATACAGAAAAAAGATTCTTGTTCAGTTACTTATATCCACTTGTAAACCTTTCCCCTGAAATGATCTTTCCCATTAGCTTCGCTGCAGGCTGTGGTACAGCAGTATGAGGAAAAGAATACCAAGATCAAACAGCTACTTGTGAAAACCAAGAAAGAACTGGCAGATTTGAGGCAAGCGGTATGCGCATTCCTGAGTTCTATCTTTGAATACAAGTATTTATGAATAGCATCGTTATTTAATTTAACCAGGTTTCTTGTTCTGCAGGAGACTGATCACTTAATGCTTCAGGCATCTTTAAAGGGTGAACTGGAAGCCAGCCAGCAGCAAGTAGAAGTCTGTAAAGTAAGATTCTTTTTACTGTTAAAGGCTTTTAGAAATTTCCATGTAGAAGTAAGCTGCCACGTGGGGGGTTTTATACACACACACACACAAAATATACGTTTGCGCACACACATTTCTTCCCCCTAAGTATCCTTTATCAGCCAGCATTTTTGAGAAAGTAGAAGCAATAATTTATTTCTGTATTCATTATGTTTATGTATAACAGCTTGAAGTATTTAATTAAACATTGAACTGTGACATGTGTTCTGAAATTTTTTCATGATTATTTGATTGATTTAAGGAAAACCAAATTAATTTATTGAGAAAATATTCTACTCATGTTAGCTCTAGTCTTTGAATAATAAGTTAAAATTCCTACTCTTATGTCTCTTACACATAGTCCCCTCTCAAACCCCAACTTGACCTTTAAGGGAAGTCTGTTTAACCAGCAAAGATCTGGTTCCCTCGCTCCTCACCGAAAGCCTCTGCCCCCAGATTCAGCTGGCAGAAGTGACGGCAGAGAAGCACAAAGCCCATGAGCGCCTGAAGGCATCGGCGGACCAGCACCAGCGCACATTGGGTGCCTACCAGCAGCGGGTATCAGCCCTGCAGGAGGAGTGCCGCGAGGCCAGGGTGCGTCCTCCGGTTGTGGGGTGGGGGTAGGCTCCCAGCAGTTCGACCCCTCCACCTGACCCCAGCCCAGACAACCCAGACCTTTACTAGCACAACTTGTTTCTGCTAAAAGGAAAGACAGAGGTACACATTGTTTCCATTTTAACCTTGTTTTGCAGTTTCTGTGTGTAAATAAATTTTTAAAAAATTTTTTCGTTAGAAAGGTTAGAGTTCTCTCCAAGGGCTAAATGACTATGAAATCATATTCTAATAGAAGCACCACTTTCTTCAGTGTACAGAACAGACCCCTGCAATTGACTTGTTAACAGGCATGGCTCTTTCTGAGCGTCCTGGGCAGTAGGGCTGAGAGGTCACAGGGCACTTCAGGAAGCCCAGGACCTAGAATTACACTTTTCCCACTCTCTTTTGAAAACCAAAGTGCAAGTAGCCTCACCTCTTTGAATTAATTTTTCGTGTATTTATAAAAACAGGAAATTTTATTCTAATATTGACATAATATTAGATATTCTATTAGATATTCATAATATTAGAATATTCTAATAATAATATTCTAAATTGTCTATTGACAATTAGAAATATTGTCTAATATTTCTACTAAGTGAAAATTATTCTAAATAGTGCTATTATAGCAATATGGGGGGGAAAAAAGGGCAGTAATCTACTAGGTGAAAACAGGTAGAAATATACCTCCTGTCAGACAAGATATGTCATTCAGAGACCTTAAAAAAGTGTAAGGCCAACAGAAGTACACTATTTAGGGAAAGTTCATTGAGGGACTAAGGAGTGTCAGAGGCATTACTTATCTTCAGAGAAAGGTTTTCATCTTCATTCACAATCTGAGAGAAAACAGGAGGATCACGTGACCTAAAAAATACAGTGGTCAGACTTCTTTCTTTCTGAACCATTATAGGCAGAACAAGCTGCGGTCACCTCTGAATTTGAGAGCTACAAGATCCGGGTCCACAATGTTTTAAAACAGCAGAAAAATAAGTCTGTGTCTCAGACTGAGGCTGAGGGAGCCAAACAAGAAAGGTGAGGTCTTCAGGATGGGGAGCACCCATGGGGTGGGAACTCCTGCTCCCATTGCCTTTGGACCTTGAGGTTTACACGTAACCACTAGTTACCACCAGTGTTTCAATAATATGTTGTTTAATACTTCTTTGAAATTAGCATACTGATTGCTCTTGTGAATTATTCAAAAATATACTAGGAATGAGAGCTTGCTGTGGCATTCTATAGCATCTATGCTTTGCTTTTATCGGGAGAGGCCTGGTGTTCAGAACAGTTTTACACCTGGCTCTTACTATTCTCAGTAGGAGTAAATATCCTGCAGAATTTGTGTACTTATGTTACTTTTTTTGAACTTTTTATTTTGTATTGGGGTATAGCTGATCAACAGTGTTGTGATAGTTTCAGGTGAATAGCAAAGGGACTCAGCCATACATAGACATGTATCCATTCTTCCCCAAAGCCCACCTCCCAGTCAGGCTGCCACATAACATTAAGCAGAGTTCCCTGTGCTATACAGTAGGACCTTGTTGGTTATCCGTTTGAAATATAATAGTGTGTACATGTCCATCCCAAACTCCCTGGCAGCCATAAGTTTGTTTTTTAACTCTGTGAGTCTCTTTGTTTCATAAGTAAGTTCATTTGTATTATCTCCTTTTAGAGTCCACATATAAGGGATGTCATACAATATTTCTCCTTCTTTATCTGATTTATTTCACTCAGTATAACCCTCACTAGGTCCATTCATTTGCTGCAAATGGCGTTACTTCATTCTTTTTAATGGCTGAGTGATGTTCCATTGTATATATGTACCACATCTTTATCCATTCCCCTGTTGATGGACATTTAGATTGCTTCCATGTGGCTATTGTAAACAGTACTCAATGAAGATTGGGGTGAGTGTTTCCTTTTGAATAATGTTTTTCTCTGGATATATGTCCAGGAGTGGGATTGCAGGGTCATATGGTAGCTCCATTTTTAGTTTTTTAAGGAACCTCCGTACTGTTCCCTGTAGCTCAGATGGTAAAGAATCTGCCTGCAATACAGGAGACCCAGGTTCAATCCTTGGGTCAGGAAGATCCTCTGGAGAAGGGAATGGCAGTCCGCTCAAGTATTCTTGCATGGAGAATCCCATGGACAAAGGAGCCTGGCGGGCCACAGTCCATGGGGTCAAAAAGAGTCGGACATGACTGAGCGACTGACACTACCATACTGTTCTCCATAGTGGCTGTACCAATTTTAATTGCCACCAATAGTCCAGGAGGGTTCCCTTCTCTCCACCCCCTCTCCAGCATTTGTTGTTTGTGGATTTTTTTTTGATGATAGCCTTTTTAGCTGGTGTGAGGTGCTGTCTCATTGTAGTTTTGATTTTGCATTTCTCTAATAATCAGTGATGTTGAACATCTTTTCATGTGTCTCTTGGCCATCTGTATGTCGTCTTTGGAGAAATGTCTCTTTAGGTTTTCTGCCCATTTTTTGAATAGGTTGTTTGTTTTGATGCTGTTAAGCATCATGAGCTTTTTGTAAATTTTGGAGACTAATCCGTTATCAGTTACATCATTTGCAAATATTTTCTCCCAATCTGTGGGTTGTCTTTTCACTTTATTGTTCCCTTTGCTTTGCAAAAGCTTTTGAGTAGGTCCTGTTTGTTTATTTTTGGTTTTATTTCCATTATTCTGGGATGTGGATTGAAAAAAATGTTGCTGTGATTTATCTCAGTGTTTTGCCTATGTTTCCTCTAGGAGTTTTTTAGTGTCCAGTCTCAGTTTAATCGATTTTGAGCTTATTTTTGTGTATGAAGTTTAAGAGTGATCTAATTTTATTTTTTTACATGTGACTGTCCAGTTTTCCCAGCAGCATTTGTTGAAGAGACTGTCTTTTCAACATTGTGTAGTCTTGCCTCCTTTGTCATAGATTAATTGACCATAGGTGCATGGACTTATTTCTGGGTTTTCTATCCTGTTCCCGTTGGTCTATATTTCTGTCTTTGTGCCAGTACCACACTGTTTTGATGACTGTAGGTTTATAGTATAGGCTGAAGTCAGGGGGCCTGACTGCTCCAGTTCCCTTTTTTTTCTCAGGATTGCTTTTGCTATTCAGGATCACTTCTATCATTTGAGATTTTTTGTTCTAGTTTTGTGAAAAAAGCCATTGGTAATTTGAAGGGATTTCATTGAATCTGTAGATTGTGTTGGGCAGTATAGTCATTTTCACAATATTGATTCTTCCAGTCCATGAACATGGTGTATCTATTCATCATTTATTTCCTCTTTGATTTTTTTCATCAGCATCCTAATAGTCACTAGAGTACAGGTTTTTTGTCTCAGAGGTAGGTTTATTCCTAGGTATTTTATTCTTTTTAATGCAGTGGTAAATGGAATAGTTGCTTGAATTTCTCTTTCTGATCTTTCATTGTTACTGTATTGAAATAGAGCAGATTTCTGTGTATTAATTTTGTAATCTTATGGTTGTGTTGCTTTTTAAGTATTTAGTAAATAGATAATTCTAGGCTAAAAACTGATGAGATGTTTTTTCTATGAATTGCTCGTCTTAAAAGCTGAAGTTGAATACTGACACATTATTATAAAAATACCACATTTGCAAGAGTCAGCTTTGATTATGACAGTTTTGAGTTAAAATTATTTTAATGTAAATGTTTTAAGTTTCTTCTACTTTTTTATATATTAAATACTTTTTAAAAAAAGAAATAGTGCATTATACCAGTTGTGGCAGAAATACAGTTTTTAACTTTTTCTCCAAAGACTTTTCTTCACTCTAGCTTGGTGTAAAAAGCTATTCTCAGAACAGATAGCCTAGAGCTGTATGATTTCTGTTTTTTCCCCCAACTAATGTCGTCCTCCTATAACATGAAATGGACTATTTGGATGTACTGCATGGTCTGCTCCATTTGAATGTGAAATCTGTAAATTCAGACTTTTGTAAATGTGTAGTCTGACATCTAAAATCTGACTATAGTGTTTTGTTTCACACTTAACCCTGTTCTCCAAATTCCTCAGATTGTTTTATTTCATTTAAAATCATCCATAATAATGGCAAGAGTATGGTATCAAAAGATTAAATGATTAAAGTAAAATTTATTCGAAATCATAAAATTAGGTTTACTCTTTCAAAAATATTTTTTAAACTTACTTATGTTTTAGAGAACATCTGGAAATGCTGATTGACCAACTGAAGCTCAAGTTACAAGACACCCAGAACAGCTTACAGATCAGCACCTCTGAGCTGCAGGCCCTGCAGTGTGAACACTACGCCCTGCTGGAGAGGCACAACAGGGTGCTGCAGGAGGCCATGGGCAAGGAGGCTGAGCTCCGTGAGAAGTAAGCCAGCGGCGCTGGCACATGAGCAGCGAGTGGGCTTGTTGGCACTCTGGTTGGGCACCCTTGGGAGGGTGCGGGCTGAAGTTAGGAGCAGGGTGTCCACACGTTGGTGGCTGCTTCTGCCTCAGAGCGCCCGCTCCTGCTGTGTCTATACATGGCTTTACCTGCTTGCCCACCATTCTGTCCACTGTGCCCTCATGGCCTTGCATTGGAGGCCAGCACTTCTCCTTCTCTCTGGACGACATTCTGGCAGCTGCTGATGGAGCCCTTACTTTCTTTGGAAACAAGAATTTACAGCAAGCCCTCACTGTAGGACAGGCAGAGTTTACTAGAAGCACAGCTTGTGGGGGAGCACACAGGCAGAGCTGCGCTCCCCGCACAGGGCGTGGGCATCCTTGCCAACAGGGAGTGCCCAAAGGTGGAACTGCTCGTGTAGACGACATCTTCTGGTCTGTGTCTTCCTCTGGCTGCTTGTCTTGCTTCATTTCCCACCCTCTGACCTGACCCAGGGCCCTCCCAATATGCCCATGCATCCTTTTGCTGAGGTGGAGTCCAGTGCGGAGGTCTCGAAGGTGGACAGCACTTATTACAGGATCCTACCCCCCCCACCCTCCACCCCCACCCTCCACTTCCTAATCGCAAGAAGTGTCTGCACTTCTTGGAGAGGTGTCTCCTCACCTGGAGAATAGGCATGTCACCTGTCCTTCACTTCAGCAGAGCTTCATTTCCCTCTGCTCCTGCCATTAACCCTTTGCTTGAAACATCGGGGTACACAGACTCCAGTTGACACATTTAGGTCACCCTCTGCCTCCTGCCTGAGTCCCCCAGGGGCACGTCCGGTTGCCATCTTGGCCGAGCCAATGTAGGGTGGGTGCTTATGTGGCACGGTCTCTCCCCAGGCTGTGCTCTGTGCAGTCAGAGAACTCCGCCTTGAAGGCTGAGCACATGCAGACTGTTGATCAGCTCACAGCCCAGCATGAGGCCCTACGCGGCAGCTTCCGGGAACAGGTGGGGCAGCTGCAAGAGGAACACCGGAGGACAGTGGAGACACTGCAGCAGCAGCTGTGCCGGCTAGAGGCCCAGCTTCTGCAGCCCCGCAGCGAGCCGGCCATGCGGAGTATGTATTTGCGATGGGGACAGGCGCACGGAGTGCGTACTTGCAGTGGGAATGCACATGTGGAGTGTGTACATGCAATGGGGACACATACGGAGTGCGTACGTGTGATGGGGGTGTGCTGTCTAGCCACTCCCCCCCCACCGGGTGTTGTGGTCAGCGACATGGCATCTGCTTCTAAGTGGAGATTTGGACGCTGAACCCCCTGCTGCTGCAGCCTCTGCCCCCACAGGGTACTGACTTCACGTAGTTGGGTTTTCCTCTTTGACTCAAACACAGCGGTCTCAAGCCTCCGTGTACAAATACAGCATCCACTGCATCCATTTAGTGTTCTTCAGTGTTTTTTCAAACACTTTTTTTTTTACTCAGAAATTCTAGAGTGCTGAAATTGTAGGATTGTCTGGTCAAACACAGCATCTTCCCTTCCAAGTTTCTAATTAGTGGAGCTTTTGTCCAGCCACACAAACGACTTCATTCTGCTTCCTGGAAGCGATGAGAGCCCATCAGCCAGAATGAGGCCACATCTCAGTGCAGAGTATCAGCTTCATATTTAGTACTGATCCCTCATCACCAGGGTGTTGGCGGTGACGGGTCACTCCTCAGGATCAAAACCAACTTTCAGACAATGTAATATAAACTGAGAACTGTCAGAAGTGGCTAACCAGGGAATGCTGGAGTCAGGAGTCAGCAGTGGAACGTGCAGTAAGCAAACAGTCAGAGACCCGGGCAAGCGCTTCCGCAGAGGGAACTAAAGTGACCTAAGCGAGAGGTGAGGTTAACAGGCCTGGCTGGAACAGGCTCTGACTCTTTGAACCAGGCCGTGTAATTGCTCTGACCTTGAGCTTGCTTGGGATTCATAAAAGAACTCCTTTGAAGTGTCTTATGACTCTGCTGGTTGTATGCTGGGCTGGTGGCCAGCGAGCGTGGAGCCCAGCCTGGGAAGTGGGATGGGTCAACCCACCCTAGATTCAGGACTCTTCTTGCCTGCATGCTGACGACGGGTGGGTGATGGCCTGAACCCTCGGTGGAGTGTGAGGCCCATGGTCAGTGAGCTCAGAGCTGCCCTCAGCAAGGGTGTGGTGTTCCAGGGTTTGCAATGCTGGAAACACCCATCCTCTGTGACAGGCAGAGTCTGGTTGGAGGGTTTCTATAGCAGCCAGGCCTCTGCATTGTGCTGTCCAATGGTTTACCCTAACTCAGGTAGCAAGTGCTGCCTCTGGTGAGTGGACTTCATCGTTAGAGTTCAGTAACTGGCTGGTTAGGGTGGTCTTAGAAGTTTCCTCTTTCTGCATCTTTCCTTGTCTTTGAGTAATTCAGGTTCCCTGCCATGCAGCTGGTCATCCTGAGTCATGTCACCTTTGCTTAAGTATCTCTGCTGGTGCTGAGTCCATGAGTCTGAGCATCTCCCACTTACTGTTTAAAAATCCTGTAACAGGTGCAGCTTCTTCCCAGCAACCTTTGAGGAGCCTTCGCGAGAGGAGAAGCGCAGACCTCCCATTCCTGGATGTGCAGGTCACGGCCCGGGAGGAAGGGGAAGGGATGGAGACCACAGACCTGGAGCGGGGCTCTCCCGCCAGCACCCCTGCACAGTCCCTGGAGCAGCTGCTCAGTTCTCCTGAAGCCAGGCTTGGTGCGCTCCTCTGTCTGATTCTATCATCCTGTCTAATTAACATCACTCTCCTTTATAAGTGCTCTCTTGAGCTACTCTCATAAAAAAAACTTTTCAGTATTCTCCTATTTTACAAATGGAAAATTTGGCCATGGTCAGATTTGGCTTTCTGTTTTTTGCTTGTTGACTTTGGGCCTGTTCCATCATGTATTAAATTCAAATAATAATGCTCCCCTCACCTTGTATGAAATCCTCAAGGGAGACCACTGAAATTATGGTCTCCCAGTAACTGCTGGCATTTCCTTCTTTATGAGCAAAGTGACACCAGCTCCCAGGATGTGAATAGATGAAGGAGGGTGAGCTGGTGCTGACCTAGTAGCCTCACAGCTTCCAAGCCAGCAGCCTGCTCCACTTTATTGTCTGTCTTCCTGTGTCTCATGCAGCCTTGTAACTGGGGCATGGGGGTGGACCTGCAGAGCCAAGTGGCCATACCAGGGTATTTTCTTGGTGATCTGTTAAAATTTTCACTTGTGACCCCTCATTTTGGGAATTAATGTTGGACTATTACCTGCAGAGCCGCCTGCATGGCACAATGAATTCACCAAAGAAGAGTTGGTTCAGAAGCTCAATTCCACCACCAAGAGTGCCGACCACTTAAATGGCCTGCTTCGGGAAACGGAAGCCACCAATGCCATCCTCATGGAGCAGATTAAGGTGGGGAATGCTGCTTCCAGGAAGCCCTCCGCACTAGCTCATGCGTCCTTGCTACACCTTTGTTGTCATTTTAAGGGCATTTTGGGGGAAGAGGAGACATGGTGTCCATCTTTCATGTTAACCCCTTTTCCCTTGCTTCTGTGACAACCAGCTTCTGAAGAGTGAAGTCAGGCGGCTGGAGCGGAACCAGGAGCGGGAGAAGTCGGCAGCCAACCTGGAGTACCTGAAGAACGTGCTGCTGCAGTTCATCCTGCTGAAGCCAGGCAGCGAGCGGGCGCGGCTGTTGCCTGTGGTGGACACCATGCTGCAGCTCAGCCCTGAGGAGAAGACCCGGCTGGCGGCCGCCGCCCAAGGTGGGCAGGGCATCAGACGGGGTTGTGCTGTGGACCAGTATATCCTGTGCCTGAAAGGAAACGCTGGCTCTGCTTCCTGGGGACAGCACCATGTGTGCATCCCTTCCACGTAGAAGGGAGCACAAAGTGTCCACTGTGATCTCCAGTTCCTTGAAACTGGACTTGTGACCCTAGTTTGGGTTCTCCCCATGAATTTGGTTTCCTTCTGTGCCGTGCTGTGCGTCATGTGTCAGACGTCCTCGTTCTGACCCTCAGAGAGGAAGACAGTGGGCACTGGTAGGCCTAAGGACAGGTTGGTGTGCAACGTAGATAGTAACCTTCTGTTTCACCCCACAGGTGAGGAGGAGAGCGGGTCCCGCTCCTCAGGCTGGGCATCCTACCTGCACAGCTGGTCTGGACTCCGGTAGACTGACAAGAGAGTGCTGTTCATGAACCAAATAGTCTGTTTGGCAAAAAAAGGCTCATGTATGTTCCTGTCATTGTTTGGTCCAAAACCATGTGTATGTAATTCACATCTCCGTGTGTGTATCCATGCATGTGTCAGAGGAATCGAAGAGGCTCAGCCCGTGGTGAATGTCCAGCAGTAGGAGTGTGGACATGGCTGTGGCCCTGAGACTCTGTGCCCTCTCCGTCGCCACCAGACCCAGGAGCAACGCCCTGCCCTCCTCTGGACTCTCAGGCTGCCTGGGTTAGGGCTGTCCTGTGAATTCTGAAGTTAAACTAAGTTTTGGTGTCATACCAGCTAGAATTTAGACTTTTTAAAGAATTTGTAGGACCATTTATGACAAGATCAGACTGACAGGTCAGTTGTTATCATTGACAAATTGTTACAGAAAACTTGTGAGTCAGAATGTGAAGGAAGACACTTTCCTGGTAAAGCTGACGTGTTTATGAAGGAATATCAAGTAAATGTACTGGAGTCCACCCCCAAGTCTAAGTTAACGTGACTGTTTCCTTATTTCCTTTAAAACTCCTGGGTCTGGGGCCGATGGAGAGGGCCCCACTCCACCTGCTGGACGTTCACCATGGGCTGAGCCTTTTCAGTTCATCTGACACATGCATTGCGTGGACACACACAGGTTTTTGGACTGAACAATGAGTTCTATTTTCTCCAGAGTACATTATCTCAAGCTGATTCTGTGGTCACAAGCCCTGGTCGCCATGTTCCCAGATGGGGTGCTTCTATGGGATCTGCCCATATTCCTATTGTGCTTCAGCAGCTTCTACACCGGAGTCTGTCTGGGGAATTTGCTCAGTCTCTCCAGAGAAACTTTCCAGTACCCTGGCTGTGTTGCTAGGTGTTGCGTCCAGAGACAAGCTGGTGCTCAGCAGTCCCGGCACACCAGTCGCCCGTGTGCTGCGAGGGGCCCCGGGGTATAGCTCCTGGTGGTGGTGGTGGTGGTACTTGGCTTGATGCCTCTGAATATTCTGTGGACTGTGTCAAAAACGTGTCCTTAAGTCATCAATGTGAAAACTCTATTTTTAATATTTATTTGTTAAAAGTCACCCCACAATATGCTCTATGAAGTTGTTTCAGCTTCTAGTCTACCCTGTGATCTTTGGTCTCAGCTGGTGAACTGACTTTGTACTGCGGTTACGGGAACAATGGTTTCCAGTTTACTTTAACTGAAATTTGCTGCTGACATGTTGAGTTTGTTCTTTAACAAATAATCTCAATATCTGACTTTCCTCTTGTTTCAGAAGAACAGACCTAACTGGTGAATGTATTAATGAAAATGCATCTATTTCAGAGCTGACTTCTAAGCATTTAGTTTTTTTTTACTTGGTAAACTGTGAATATGAGTATGCCAGAAGCATATGAGGTAACTGTTAAAATATTTAAATAAATCTCACTTTATCTCTAAGTCCAGGCTATCAACCTGTTTTGAAGTATGAGCTCTACCTATGGACATAATAACAAAAATGCCTTGTATGATCAGAAATTACTACTTCAATTACAGAAGGGATCTCTCTCCCTGGTTTCTGCAACGAGAGGAAGTATAATGATTATTTCAATATTTCTATTAAATGTGTTGGACTGTATGTCACATTGTTAACACCTACTCTTCTGTTGTTAGCCTCCGCCTCCTAAGGGTCTTGAGTTGGTTTATAACATGGATTTTGGGTTCCTTCTCTGCCATCTTGACCAGTCAGGACCTTGGACCCCCCACCCAGTTCTCGGCTCACGGGGCCTCAGGTTGCCTGAGGGTCCTATGCATCTGTGCGTCCGATACCCACCTTCTGGCTGAAGCTGGAGGCCACCTGGCCCTTCCATGGGTGTTTCTCAAGTTCTGCCCTCTGTGGTGTGAGGGTCTCCCAAACTACAAGCTCTGCTTACATTCCAGACAGTGTACATGGAGGCTTACGTTCCTTTAAACAGAAGTGAACCACTCACCAGCAGAGCAGGGGTCTTGTACCCCATGGTAGCTAATGATGAGAGCGAGAGGTCCCATGGAGAAATGGCTTTGGTGTTCAGTGAACAGAGCACATGAAAATACTTGCATGTGGTTAGTAGGAACTTGGCAGTGGCACTTGGTACAAGACTTTTGTTTTATGTGTGTTCCATGTCTGGAAATCAGCTGTGGCAGGTCTTCCCTGGTAGCTCCGTGGTAAAGAACCTGCCTACCAGTGCAAGAGATGCGGGTTTGATGCCTGGATCAGGAAGATCCTCTGGAGAAGGAAATGGCAACGCACTCCAATATTTTTGCCTGGAAAATCCTATGGACAGAGGAGCCTGGCAGGCTACAGTCAAGTGAAAGTCACTCAGTCATGTCTGACTCTTTGCGACCCCATGGACTGTATAGACCATGGAATTCTCAAGCCCAGAATACTGGAATTGATAGCTGTTCCCTTCTCCAGGGGATCTTCCCAACCCAGGGATCGAACCCCGGTCTCCTGCATTGCATGCAGATTCTTTGCCAGCTGAGCCACAAGGGAAGCCCAAGAATACTGGAGTGGCTAGCCTATCTCATCTCCAGCGGATCTTCCCGACCCAAGAATTGAACCAGGGTCTCATGTATTGCAGGTGGATTCTTTGCCAGCTGAGCTACCAGGGAAGCCCTACAGTTGGTGGGGTGACAAAAGAGTGAAACGTGACTGAACGCATATGCACCCCATGCCCCTCAGTCAGCTGTGGCTTCAGAAGAGAACAGAGAGAACAGCCTGATAGAATTGGCAGTGCCTTCCAGCTGATTTCACCAATAGGTGATGAAGAGCTTTTGGGTGTTTATGTATTAGTTCACCTGCCTGCAAAATGTGATTACGTGGGAAAAAGAACCAAGTCCTGACATTGAGTTGTTACTGTTTTTAAAAAAAATAGGCTTTTATGAGTTGAACACTGAATACAGTGTGGAAATGTGATTTCAGTTCAACAATGCAGGTGGCTTCCTGGTCTCACTTGGAGGACAGGCCCACTCCCACCCACGTGGTGCCCTTACTCGAGTCTGCCCTCACCCTTCTATCTGGGGACAGAGGCCACCCCCCTATAAAAGGCAAGGAATTCCGGCCATAGTCATCTGGACCCAGATGCAGGGCTCCACCCTAGACAAACCAGTCAGTGTCTGACCCACGGATTGCTGCATACCATGCTCCCCTGCCCTTCACCATCTGCCAGAGCCTGCTCAAACTCAGGTCCGTTGAGTCAGTGATCCCATTGAACCATCTCATCCTCTGCTGTCCCCTTCTCCTCCTGCCTTCAGTCTTTCCCAGCATCAGTCTTTTCTAATGAATTGGCTCTTCCCATCATGTGGCCAGAGTATTGGAGCTTCAGCATCAGTCTTTCTAATGAATATTCAAGGTTGATTTCCTTTAGGATTGACTGGTTTGATCTTGTAGTCCAAGGGACTCTCAGGAGTCTTCTCCAGCACCATAGCTCAAAAGCATCAATTCTTCAGTGCTCTGCCTTTTTTATGGTCCAAGTCACACCCGTATATGACTACTGGAAAAACCAGAGGTTTGACTAGAGCTTTGACTACAGTTTACGTGCCACACAATTCATTGTTTAAAGTATACAACTGAATGGCTTCAGTGTAGTCATAGGGTTGTGAAACCATCTCCATGTTAGAAAGTTTAATCATTCCAGAAATAAACTCCCTACCTATGGGCAGCCTCTCCCCCACTAACCCTCCCACCTTTGACAGCCACTGATCTGCTATCTGTAGATTTGCCTGTTTGTATAATTCCTGTTACATTGCAACTAACTTGTTCCTAATCTCCAAATAATAACCAGGTAATAAGATTAAATGAAATGATACAGTAAGATGCTGACTCAGCAGTGTCTGGTATGTAGGACACACACAATAAATGTTAGATGGTTTTAATTCCTACTTCACATGTATAATTAAAGTTTCCCAGGTAGTGTAGTGGTAAAAGAATCTGCCTGGCAGTGCAAGAGACAAGATGCGGCTTCAATCCCTGGGTCAGGAACATCCCCTGCAGTAGGAAATGGCAACCCACTCCAGTATTTTTGCTGGGAAATCCCATGGGCAGAGGAGGCTGGTGGGCTACAGCCCATAGAGTCGCAGATGGTCAGATACAACTGAGCACATATACACACATCACATGTGTAATCACAAACTAGTTTCACTGCATTCTGGTTGCCGTCACTACCAAGGAGATTAACATCACTGTTACCAGTGAAGTCATTATGGCTATAAATCTTTTCTGAAGGATGTACTGAATTCTAAATGCAAAGTTAAAGATGCTAACATCAATGACATTTGGGTCATTTTGGTTACTCCTTTCCTCATTAGCAAAAGCCATCTTTTATTTTTTAAAGCAATTAAAAATGTAGGACACATACAATAAGTGTTAGATGGTTTTATTTTCCACTTCACATGTGTAATTCAGGCTTCCCTGGTGCCTCAGATGATTAAGAATCTGTCTGCAATGCAGGAGACCCAGGTTTGATCCCTGAGTTGGGAAGACCCCCTGGAGAAGGGAACAGCAACACACTTCAGTATCTCTGCCTGGAAATCCAATGGACAGAGGAGCCTGGCGGGCTGTAGTTCACAGGGTCACAAAGAGGCAGACACAACTGAGTGATTAATACTTTCACTTTTATCCAGAATATTGCAATTTCAGCTAGCCATGTTGTATCTTTCTTGGTAACCTGGAAATGAACAGGCATTTGGTTTTTGTATCAACTTTAAGTGCTATGCTGTTTCTTAACCTGTTTGCTACTGGCTAGATACAGCGTGTGCTTTCCTTGAGGGGCTCTTGAGAACTGGCCATGGCTTCCTGTTCCTTTTTTTTACCCCAACTGGTTACCAGAAGGCCACACTCCCTAGACAGTCCTCCTGTTTCGACTTCAGTCTTTATTCTAACTTCCCCAAGGGAATGGGTCTGTGCGTGAAGCCTGACCTACCAGGCTTCAGAAAATCTCCATTATCTTGGAATGTGTTTTCTGGTTGCTTTGTTTGAGCTTAGGTATAATTGTGACTCACCACACCAAGGAGGGAAGGATGAGGACAAAAGTCTGGTGGAGCAGACAGAGAAAACAGAAGACACCAGAGGCTTTCAGAGAAAGGGATTTTTTTTTTTAATTAAAATTTATAAATATGAAAAATAGTTAACTGATGTGTACCATGTCAGGTTCCAGAGTCGTCATCTGCTAAGAGCATTGTTTGTTAATCACAGTTGATTGCCTTCAATATCTTATTTGTACACCGAAGCATTCTTTTTATTACTTATGACCAAAGTAGAGGTTAGAATTAAGACCCATTCTGAGCAATCTAACAGATAGTTTATTTCAGTGCAGTTTAAGATTATAAGAAGACACTCTTCCCAAAGAGTGAAATACAGTTTTTCACAAAGTTTGAATCTATAGCTGTCTGTGGAACAATGTATCAATATACATCCTACATCAAGCATAATTAGCAAAGCTCTACATTTTGTGATATAAAGTGATCCTGTTGTAAGCTGAAAACTCATGTTCAGCACTGGATGGTGTCCAATGTTTAATTCCTGTGATTCATTCTGAGTTTCTCACTGAGATCACTCTTTGGCCTTGCACGTTTCTCCTGGGACCCATAAAATATGCAACTAACAATTTCATGACTGTACTATTTCTGCTTCCTTTCCTGGAAAAGGAATCATTCAGATTAGCTTTCAAACTGCCTTATAGACGACAACTTTGAAATATTTTAAAAGGAGCTCCTCTTTTCTAGAACTGCTCTAATACAGTAGTCACTATTCACATGTGGATATTGAAAGACTGAACTGTAGTTATTCCAAACTGGGATATATTTTAAGTATAAAATACACACCAGGTTTTAAAGACATATGAAAATAACTTGTTTCTTTGAGACAGCTAAAAAAATAGAAAAGTTCTGGCAGGATTGACCAAGAGAAGGAGAAAGATGACACATATATAAATAATCTCATTAATAAATAGGAGACATATAACAGATGGGGGCTTCCTAGGTAGCGCAGTTGGTAAAGAACCTGCCTGCCAATGCAGAAGACACCCTGGAGGAGGACATGGCAACCCACTCCAGTATTCTTGCCTGGGAAATCCCACGGACACAGGAGCATAGCCAGCTACAGTCCACGGTGTTGCAAAAAGTCAGACACAACTGAGATACTAGGCAGGCACACATATAACAGATAAAGTAAAATTTTAAAAGTCTAATATAAACAATTATGTGTAATGATTTTGAAACTTTGGACATAAACTAATTTCTTTAAAACTTAAACTTGAAATTTACTCGATATACTGTTAACCTATGATGATCGTGTAGAATTTAAAAGCTTGAAAAATCCTGTAACTGGAATAGAAATTGAAATGGTGCTTAAAATCTTCTCAAGAAGAAAACACAAAGTCCAAATGGGTTTGCAGATATGTTCCATCAAGCTTTCAAGAGTGATAATTGTCCCAATTTGATAGGTTTATTCAGGCAATAAGAAAGGAAATATTCTCCAAATTATTCTAGGAGACCAGCATAAACCCTGACAGCTTTTCTCTTCCCTCAAATGGCAGCATACTAAACAAACTTACCCCCTTGTTTTATTTCCTAACTTAAAGTATATCTTGGAGGTGGTTG